GGGGGGGCTCCTACTTGTAACAGTTGTTGTTGAAACGGTTGTAGCTGCCCAGCGCCGTCAGGGCCCCCAGGCCGATGGCATAGGAGAAGAAAATCTGGGTCCCGGCATCTATCCACACCTGCGTGGGGCCGGCCAAGGGAGGATGTGAGGGGCCCTGCGGCCTGGCCCACCCCCTCACCCCACTCCCCCACACCTCGCCCTCACCTGAGGGGACCCCAGCTTCGACCAGTCAGGCTTGAGATAGTAGATGATGCCGTCCAAGGCGCCGGGCAGCAGCACGCCACGCACCAGGAGCACGACGAGGACCACGTAGGGGAATGTTGCGGTGAAGTACACGATCTGGGGGGCCGGGCGGCTCAGAGGGGCCCTGCGGCACCCGCCTCCCCCTTGGGGCCCCCAGCTGCTCCGAAGCCGGGAGGGAGGCTGGCCAGCAGCCCCCCTCTGCTCCTCCAAGCCTCGGCTCCTCCCCGAGGAAGCTCCGCACCCGGGCTGGAGCGGGAGCAGCTCCACGGCCGGCACAGGTCAGCGGCAGACGGAGGGGATAGGTGGGGAGCGGGACAGCAGCCGGGGGGCAGATCTCGTGCCCCCCGGCCCCCGACAGCACGTCACTGTGCAGAGAGGCCGAGTCTGGTAGTCGGGGCTAGACCCCGCCGGCCAGAGAGCGACACGGGGCCCCATGACTCCTGCTTCCCGTCCACGCTGAGCAGAGCAGGACAGGCGGGCAGGGGAGACCATAGCCTGGGTGCCCCCCGCCCCCAACCAGGGCCAGCACAAGGGAGTGAGGAATAGAGAGAAAGCGGGGCAGGGGCAGTCGGCAATGCCCCGACACAGGCAAGGGGCAGCGGCTGCCTGGGCTTCTCCCCACCTCAGGAGGGAGAAGGTTGGGGGGAAGGACGCTCCCGGCATGGGCGGGGGAGTTTGGAAGGGTGGGGAGGACGATCCAGGTATGGGTGGAGGAGTTTGGAGGTGGGAGGGGACACGATCCAGGCCTGGGCGGGGGAGTTTGGAGGGGCGGGGAGGGCAATCCTGGCATGGGTGGGGAGTCTGGAGGGCAAGGAGGACGGTCCAGGCAAGGGCGGGAATGGAACAGTCTCCATTCAAGGACCTGCTCCGTGCTCAGGCCGCGGCCCCGGCCCCTCGCCTTGCAGCGGTGGTCCCTGGCAGAGCCCCCCCTTCTCTCCCCCGTGCCCCACCATGGCCGTGCTGCCCCCAGCCCGGCCGTCACCCCCAGCCCTGCGGGGGCCTCCGGCCGTACCTTTCCTGTGGACTTGACCCCCTTCCAGACGCAGAAGTAGACCAGCACCCAGCAGGCCAGCAGACACAGGGTCACCTCCCAGTTGAGGGCCCCTGGCACCTCCAGCCCCCCGGAGAGCCGCCAGACTTTGCTCCTGGGGGAGGGAGAGCCCGTGAGCGCCGGGCCAGCAGAGGGTAAAGTGACTGGGAGCTGCCCCAGGGGTGGCGTTCCCTGCCCTGCCGCCCTCGGGTCCAGGTGGGGCCCTCCTGGGCGCCGGCGCACACGGACTCGGGCCACGTGTAAAGCCCAGACAGAGGACCAGGCGAGCAGCGGCTCAGAGGTGTCGGGCCGCCTCCCAGAACTCCGTGACGGGGGACACATGGCCAGCGGGTTGGTCACATCTGGGCCAGGCTAGGGCATTTGCAGACACAGACTTGGGGGCGAGGTAGGTTTGGCAGGAAACAGTCATGTGCCAGCAGCCTCACAAGAGGGGTTTCTCGGGAATGGCACCAGGGGTGGTTTACGCAGGTGCGCGGGTGAGCCCAGGTGACGTCATCCGCTAAGGGGCAGAGCTTCCTGAGGGAGCCTCCTTCACTCTGTGGCTCAGGGAGGGCTTGGAAGCCAGAAGTATAAGCTGAGGAACCATGCAGGCCACAGACCAAGGCGCAGGCAGTGTGACCGGCACAGCTAAAGGTCAGGGTTGCCCTGGTGACCCTAGTGGTCCAGATGGCCCTGAAGGCCACGAGGGCCCCCGTGGAAGTGGTGAGGGAGAGGCAAGTGCTACAGCCAGGGGAGACCCACGGGTCACATAGGTGCCACAAGCTCCTGGCCCCGGGCGGAGACGCCACACCAGGACCTGGAGGACATGCGGTACCATGGCCAGGGGACATGCGGGGTGTCACGCTGTGCATATGCTGCATCAGGGCTGGGTGTGCCTGTCAGGCCCACAGCCAGAGGACCAGGAAGCCAGGTGCCCCCCGTTGTACCTGTTTGAGGCGTGGCTGGCTGGCCAGGGGAATGGATCTACGGGAGGCAATGGGACAGCGAGGAGAGGAGGTCAGCCTGGGGGCACAGAGGAAGGAGGGTCCAGGGAGGAGCCGGGGCTGCTGGAGGGGCTGTCCTGGAGCAAAGGGGCCAGTAGTGGCCAGGGCAGATGGTGGGGAGAGATGATCTGACGGACCAGGAAGGAGGGGAGGAGACCTGGGGGTACTGTGAGGGGTGAGAGTGGTCAGAGGGGGAGCAGGCCTTGGAATGATAAGGAGGCCAAAGCACAGACAAGATTGGTTTCGGGTGGTGCCTTAACTGACTCTCCACCAGCTCTCTCACTGTACCTTTCCCATCACCCATGTAGACAGAGGTGGCCCGCCAGTCCCTGTCTCCAAATGGCCAATCCTACAAGGGACAATTCAAAAGGAGCTCATGGTATCCGGCAGCATCCTAGCTATGTTAGCTGTAAAAGGAGCCCAGGTTGGGGGTGGTGGAAGGTGGCTGAGGTCAATCACTATTCTAATGGTGAATTGGAATTACCCACAGGTGAGATCTAAGGAGGTACATGTGGCATACGGGGCCTGTCACTACGTGCGGGGGCAGAATTATCACATTAATTTGATTTTCTTTTTCCCTCACTTTTAGCTGACTAATTGCTGAAGACCCTGGCCAACTCCACATTTCCATCACCTCCTATCTTGGCCAGTTTTCCCTATTGGTTTGGCCCATGCAGCACTTTGTGCCCCCCTTTCTTGCTAAGCCCAGGCCAGAGAAAGTTGTCTAAGATCGACCTAGTGGCCCCCCTGGGCAGTGCATCTTTCCCTAGGGCACTGGTTCCTATGCCAGCTGCCACTTTATCATGAGGGTTTAATTAGTTGTACTGGACTTTGGGCACTCTTGGCTTTATGATTCTCTATCGTTGCGGGGGAGGGATATTTTTTTTTTTAAGAGAGCGATGCAGGGAGGGGAAGGGGGATTGGGAGAGAGAGAATATTAAGCAGTCTCCATGCACCGTACAGATCCCCAATACAGGGCTCAATCTCACAACTCTGGGATCATGACCTGAGCTGAAATCAAGAGCCAGGCACTAAACCAGCTGAGCCACCCAGACTTAGTTTGCACGAGATCAAACAACCCAGAAACAGTGGAATTGTAATTTTGTGGCTTACTGACCTTGTTTCAGATCTGTAAAGAAAACTGGTTGAGACAGTTAGTTAAGCGGGGCAGGAAAAGGAGTTAGCTCTCTGTACTGTATCTGGTTTCCTACAACGTTTTTAAACTTGCCCACAGTTTTAGTAGTTTTTCTGTGGGTTACATCAGTTTTTTTCCATAGATGATCAGGTTGTATACAAATAAGGGAGTTTTACTTTCTTCTTTCCAATCTGGATGCCTGTTTCTGGTTAATTAATTAATTAATTAATTGCGTTTTCCTGCTTCTTCACCTGCCTTGTAATTTTAGATTGAATGCCAGACATCATGAAATTTTGCCTTGGCATTTGTGTTCCCAAACATATTCTTGGGCTTTGTTCCGGGATTCTTTATTACTTGGAAACAGTTTGATCCTTTCAAGTCTTACTTTTAGGATTTGCTCAGTGACACCAGAACAGATTTTAGTGGAGGATTAATTTAACTAGTTAGCAACCTCCAATGTTAGACAAGGTTACGGTTAGAAACAAGGACTCTTATCAGTTGAAGAAGTAGTAAAATGCATGTGGGCATTTATTTGGCACTTTCTGTTAATATTTAAGATGTTCACTCCCTTTGACCCACCTTTGGGAATCTATCATAGAGAAATGCATGTGCAAATTAGGCAGAATCAAGCAGGATGTTAATTATAACATAATGTAAAAAATTGGATGAATGTAACTGTACATTGAATAAAGACTCAAGATGTCAGGACTTCTGGGTGGTTCAGTAGGTTGGACATCTGCCTTCAGCTTGGATGATGATCCCAGGGTCCTGGAATCTAGCCCTGCATCAGGCTCCCTGCTTGATGGGGGGCCTGCTTCTCCCTCTCCCACTCCCACTGCTTGTGCTCCCTCTCTCGCTGTCTCTCTCTGTCAAATAAATAAATAAAATCTTTTTTAAAATAATTTTTAAAAAGGAATCAAGTGGGGAGAAAGTGAAAGCATACAATTAGATTAAAAAATATGAAACCAGGGACTCCTGGGTGGCTCAGTTGGTTGGGCAGCTGCCTTCGGCTCAGGTCATGATCCCAGTGTCCTGGGATCGAGTCCCGCATCGGGCTCCTTGCTCAGCAGGGAGCCTGCTTCTCCCTCTGCCTCTGCCTGCCATTCTGTCTGCCTGTGCTTGCTCTCTCTCCCTCTCTCTCTCTCTGACAAATAAATAAATAAAATCTTTAAAAAAAAAATATGAAACCATTAAAATAAAAGGAGAAAGTCCTGATGAAAAAGTGTATGCATGATACAAAACCCAGGAGCCATGCATGAATAAAAATGAATCCATGTCGGGGCACCTGGGTTGCTCAGTGGGTTAAGCCTCTGCCTTTGGCTCAGGTCATGATCTCAGGGTCCTGGAATTGAGCCCCACATCGGGCTCTCTGCTCACTGGGGAGCCTGCTTCCTCCTCTCTCTCTCTCTCCCTGCCTGCCTCTCTGCCTACTTGTGATCTCTCTCTGTCAAATAAATAAAATCTTTTAAAAAATGAATCTGTCTAAATACAAGGAAATATCAAGTTATTTGTGGTAGAGAACACCATAAAAGCATCAGATGGGACTCAACTGAGAAAGTTATTTATAAGTCAAATAGTAAACAAAGCAGGATGTGAAATCCAGAAGCAAAAATCCAAAAAACAAAAAACAAAACAAAAAAAAAAAAACACCAATGTCTAATTACACAAAGATGTTAGGCTCTCTTATGGAAGAAAACATCATAAATAAAATGAACAGGGCACCTGGGTGGCTCAGTGGGTTAAAGCCTCTGCCTCCGGCTCAGGTCCTGATCCCAGGGTCCTGGGATCAGATCGAGCTCCACGTCGGGCTCTCTGCTCAGCAGGGAGCCTGCTTCCCTCTCTCTCTGCCTGCCTCTCTGCCTACTTGTGATCTCTGTCAAATAAATAAAATCTTTAAAAATAAATAAATAAATAAAATAAAAAGACAAACAAGTTAGGAAAACATTAGTAACCCAAATGGTAAACTAAAGATAATATTTTTAAAATGTAAATAACTCTAAGAAATAAATACATAAAAGACAAACATCGCAGTAGGGGACCCTTGGGTGGCTCAGTGGGTTAAGTGTCTGCCTTCGGCTCAGGTCATGGTCTCAGGGTCCTGGGATCAAGCCCCACATCAGGCCCCCTGCTCAGTGGGGAGTGCTTCACCCTCTCTCTATGCCCCTTCCCCCGACTCTTGTGCTCACTCACTCTCTGTCTCAAATAAATAAATAAAATCTTTAAAAAAAATGTCAAATAACCCAGTAGAAAAATTGTACAAATGACAAGAACATAGAATTCATGGAACAAGGATTGTAAACAGACCATTTGGTACATGGTATTGTTACCAGCAGGAAAGTCTCTTGGATCCCCCACCAAAGAGTTACATGAGGATCCGCGCTCAAATAAAGACAGCTGGAAGGAAGGTAGCAAGCACAAAGCAGTTTATTAAGGACAGTACATTCTCAAGTTGGGAGAGTGGACAGGCCCAGACGTGGCAACTGCACCGGGACTAGCTGGGGGTGTCATTTCTTTTTGTTTGTATAGGTTATGGGTCATAGCTAGCAGGGGGAGGGGGTCTCTGACTGAGGTTGTTTCCAATCATCTAAGGGACTCCTACCAGTTGGGAAGGGGAGTTTTGGGCCCTACAAGGTAATTGCCAGAACTATCAGGGCCATCTTCCCTCAGGGTCGGTTGTGGGGGGGGGACAGGAGGGGTTGAAACCACAATGTAAATATATTATAATGAAGCTATGGGTTACCCTGGGGCTGAGGTGGAAGAAGAGGGCACAGGGTGTCCTCAGGCTTCTAACCTATCACCTCTTTATCACCACCTCTGCCTCCAGCTCATGTCTAACTAAATGCCCACTTTAACGGTATGATCCTCTTTGTGAAAAAAAAAAAAAAAGATGAATGCGGAATAATATATCCTAGGGAAAAAAATAGAACACACATCAAACTGTTCAGAGTGGTTACTACAGACACTGATATCTTGAGAAATTTTTACTTCCTAACAACACATCTTTGTGTAAGGTATGAATGATTTTATAATAAGCATATATTATAGTTGGAAAATTTTAAAATATCTAAGCATCCGGAATTGTAAATACACTATGATTCCAGTTTTGTTTTCCAATTTTAATTTTGCATGTACATACATTTGTAGTTCAGAAAGAAACCTGAAAGAAACCATCAAAATGTTCACAGTGGTTCCCTCTGGGTGGTGAGACTGTACAGGCGTTATTGGGGGAGAATCACTTTATAAGTTTCTGTAACTGCACAACTTCTCCAATGACCACTCTGACTTCCATAAACAGAAAACAATGTATCAGAGTCAAGAACCACAACAGAAATATTGGATCTTGGCTGAAAATGGGGAGGGGAGACCTGGCACACAAAACAGGATTCACCAAATGGATTCAGCCCCAAAGCATCAGGCATGTGCTGGCCCCAGCAGAGAGAGCGAGTGTGGTGGGAGTTGATGTAACCAGTGCCTAGGAGGCACTTTCTTTCCCAAGGGCCTTGAGCAAAGCCCTCTTCACCTCCTTGTTCCGCAGGCTATAGATGATGGGGTTCAGCATGGGAGTGAGGACCACATACAGCACGGACAGCACCCGGTCCCGAGAGCCTGAGTATGCAGAGCTGGGGAGGATGTAGCAGAGGACTGAAGTGACGTAGAACACACAGACCACCATGATGTGGGCAGCGCAGGTGGAAAAGGCTTTTCGTCGGCCCTCAGCGGAGTGGATCCTGAGAATAGCAGCCACGACGTGCATATAAGAGATCACAACCAAGGCACAGGGCGCAAGAGCCACCACAGAGCTGAAGAAAAACAGGGCGAGTTCATTGGCCTGCGTGCTTGAGCAAGAGAGTTTCATCAGTGGAGGGAGGTCACAAAAGAAGTGGGTGATAAGGCGAGGCCCACAGAACTTGAGTAGAGCCGCAAGGATGGTGTGGATGAGTGAGTTGGCCAAGGCAAGCAGGCAAGAGATTGAAGCCAGCCCTGTCCGGGTCCGTGGGCCCATGAGGACTAGATAGTGCAGGGGCTGGCAGATGGCCGCATAGCGGTCGTAGGCCATGGCTGTGAGCAGGAAGCACTCTCAGGGAGCCAGGAAGTGGAGAAAGAATATCTGGGTAAGGCAGGCATGATAGGGTATGGTCCGCACTGGTGCCAGCAGGTGTACCAACACCTGGGGCACCGTGTTGGAGATATATGCAATGTCCAGTAGTGAAAGGTTGGCTAAGAAGAAGTACATGGGTGTGAAGTTGGGAGCCCATCACGATAAGGCTGACAATGCCCAGGTTCCCAACCACAGCCACTATGTAGACAAGCAGAAAAATTGCAAGGAGCAAGTGCCGCAACTCCTCTGTGTCAGTCAGCCCTTCCAGAAGAAAATGGGACACCAGGGTCTCGTTCCCCAGCTTCATGGAACCAGGCACAGAAACCTGTAGAGTCCAACTCAGAGTCAGACGAGGATCTACGTTTGGAGGTTCCAGTTTAAAAGGCAGTGGGGGGTGAGGGAAGGTCCAGGGACAAAGAAGACAGGTTTCAAGCTTAAGGAAATAAGACTCAGAATTGGAGGAGGGGGGTTAGGATCAGGAGGCCAGTGGTAAGGTCAAGGCCAGGAGAATGGAAACGGCAAGCCCACACCAAAAGGAGCTGCTCAGATCTTGAAGCCACAGTGCATGCACCTCCGAGGGAGAAAATCCCTCAGAAACTTCTACCTAAGTAAAGGCCCTACATCTTGTAATGATCTGCAATGGCACCCTTATTTCCCCATCACCAAGCCAGCAGAGCCCCAGCTCAGGATCAGCGATAAGACATTAGTCAGGTCCCCAAATGTTTATAGCAGCAATGTCAATGGCCAAACTGTGGAAAGAACCTAGATGTCCATCAACAGATGAATGGATAAAGAAAATGTGGTTCATATATACCATGGAATACTATGCAGCCATCAAAAGAAATGAAATCTTGTCATTTGCAATGATGTGGATGGAACTAGAGGGTATTATGCTGAGTGAAATAAGTCAATCAGAGAAAGACAATTATCGTATGATCTCTCTGATATGAGGAATTTGAGAGGCAGGGTGTGGGGTTGCGTGGGGTGGGGTAGGGAAGGAAAATATGAAACAAGATGGGATCAGGAGGGAGACAAACCATAAGAGACTCTTAATCTCACAAAACAAACTGAGGGTGACTGGGGGATGGTGGGGGAGGGATGGGGTGACTAGGTAATGGACATTGGGGAGGGTATGTGCTATGGTGAGTGCTGTGAAATGTGTAAGTCTGATAATTCACAGACCTGCACCCCTGAAACAACTAATACATTATAGGTTAATTAAAAAAAAAAAGACATTAGTTGGGTCCCTCCTTCTCCTGCTCTGAACCTTTCAGTGCCTCCCATCTCACTCAGAGCCAAAGCCAAATTCCTTCCCATGGCCTGCCAGGCCCTCAATGATACACTCTCCTCTCCTCTCTCATCATCAGGCAAGAAGTCTGTCAGCTCCGTGCCCCATATCAGACCTTCAGACTTGCCCACAACAGCAGACACCCTTGCGTATTTCCTGCCTCAGCAGAAGAGTGTTCTGCCCTCCTATCCGGGGCTAATTTATCCAACTTCCCTAGCTACTCTCTTCATTGTGCCAGCCCTGCCTGGCAATCTTTTTACATGTAAATGTACTAAATGCCACTGATGGTTTATGTTATATTATGCCAATTTTACCTCAATGAAAACGAAAGCAAAAATAAAGACTTTTTCAGACCCACAATAGCTGAGATAATTTGTTGTCAACAGAAAGCCTGCACTATGAGAAATGCTAAAAACAATTCTCCACAAAGAAGGGTGATACCAGATGGGAACTTGGATCTACGTGAAGTCATGAAGAGTTCCAGCACTGGGTGTTCTACACAACTAATGAATCGTTGAACACTACATCAAAAGCTAATGATGTACTATATGTCAGCTAATTGAACATAATTTTTTAAAAAAATGTGTTCCAGAAATGTAAAGTATGTAAGTAAATATAAAAATATTTTTCTCATTTTAAAATTTCTTTCTATCATAGCAAACCATTTAAAGCAAAAATGTGAATAACATAGCATGGGGTTTATAACCACTATAAGAAATAAAATATATAAAAGCGTACAAAGGAGATGAGGGGGTGATTGTAATGTCCTTACATTAAATGTGAAATGATCTGAAATTATTTGAAGGTAGTCTATAATAACATAAAATACTTATTAGAAACCCTAGAACCCTAGACATAAAATATATACACACATAGCGAAATTCTAGAAATTAGTCAAACTGAAAGAGGTCATAAAAATATGGAAAGGGGAACACAGAACACATGGGGCAAATAGAAAATAAACAGCAGGATGGCAGATTTAAACTCAACCATAACATTACTTACAATTTTTGTAAATGGTCTAAACAGTGCAGCTAAAAAGCAGAGATTGCTACAGTGGATAAAAAGGCAAAGCAAAACTATGCATAAGAAAACTAAGCATAAGAAATCCACCTCAAGGGGCGCCTGGGTGGCTCAGTGGCTTAAAGCCTGCCTTTGGCTTGGGTCATGATCCCAGTGTCCTGGGATCAAGTCCCACATCAGACTCCCTGCTCAGCAGGGAGCCTGCTTCCTCCTCTCTCTCTGCCTGCTTCTCTGTCTACTTGTGATCTCTGTCTGTCAAATAAATAAATAAAATCTTAAAAAAAAAAAGAAATCCACCTCAAGGGCACCTGGATGACTCAGTGAGTTAAGCCTCTGCCTTTGGCTTGGGTCGTGATCTCGGGGTCCTGGGATAGAGCCCCACATTGGGCTCTCTGCTTGGCGGGGTCTGCTTCCCCCTTCTCTCTGCCTGCCTCTCTGTCTGCTTCTGATCTCTTTCTCTGTGTCAAATAAATAAATAAAATCTTTAATAAAAAAAAAAGAAATCCACCTCAAATATGAAGACATGAAGATATGGTAAAAGTAAAAAGATGGTTAAAGATATACCACACAAACTCTAATCTTAAGAAAGTTTGAGTGCCTATATCAATAGGCAGAGTAGACTTCAGGACAAGGAAGGTGATGGAATGGAGGAGTTTTGCTAATGATAAAGGGGTCACTTCATGAAGAGGACCTAAAACTCTAAATATGTATGTGCTACAAATAAAGGGGCTTCAAAACACATGAAACGAAACTCACAGAACAGGGAAAAACAGAGTGGGAAATCATTAGAGAGGGAGACAAACCACAAGAGACTCTTAACTCTAGGAAACAAACTAAGGGTTGCTAGAGGGGAGGTGGGGGGGATGGGGTAGCTGGGTGATGGGCATTAGGGAGGGCACGTAGTGAGATGAACACTAGGTGTTATATGCAACGATTAATTACTGAACAGTGCATCTGAAACTAATGATGTATTATAAGTTGGCTCATTGAATTTAAATTTTAAAAAACTCACAGAAAAGAAAGGAGAAATAGATAAATCTGCAATCAGAGGTAAACATTTTAACACTCCTCTTGTAGTAATTGATAGAACAATATTGCAAAAAATCAGACATAGAAGAGCAAACTAAAATCTCAACACATGGTAAGAAAGAAATAATGAAGATAAGAGCAGATATGAATAAAGTGTTAAATGGACAAATGATAGAGAAAAATCCATGAAACTGAAAGCTTTAAAAAAATAACAAGAAAACTGATTTTTTAAAAGAGTGTAACCAGGGAATATCAGGAACATTATTTGCGAATAAGGAATTACCAAAACTGACTCAAGAAGAAATATAAAACATGAATATCCCCAAATCTATGAAAGAAATGGAACAGAAAACTCCAGGCCCACATGGCTTTACTAGTGAATACTACCAAATACTTAAAGAACAAATATTACCAATCCTATACAAATTCTTTCGGAAAGCAGAGGAGGGGAAACACTTTCCAAATCATTTTATGAGGCCAGCATTACACAATATCAAAACCAGATGAAGACATTGCAGGAAAAGGAAACCATAGACCAATATCCTGGTCAAGAAAAAACTTGATTAAATATTAGCAAATTCAGTCGCGTGACCTATAAAGAGGATGATACAATCATGACCAAGTGGGGTTTATCCTAAGAATGAAAGACTGGTTTTCATTAAAAAAAAAAAAAAATCAATCCAGGGTGCCTGGGTGGCTCAGTTGGTTGGGCAACTGCCTTCTGCTAAGGTCATGATCCCGGAGTTCCGGGATCGAGTCCCACATTGGGCTCCCAGCTCCATGGGGAGTCTGCTTCTCCCTCTGGCCTTCTCCCCTCTCATGCTCTCTCACTCTCTCGCTCAAATAAATAAATAAAATCTTTTTTTAAAAAATCAATCCATGTCATTCATCACAACCCCACCACCACCACCCCCAAAGTTTGAGAAACAAGGTATGGATGTTCACTACTTCTAGTCAACATTGTCCTGGAAATCCTAGGCAGTACAATAGGCAAGAAAGAGAAATAAAAGTGATACAGATTGGAAAAAAAGAAATAGAATTATCTTCATTCAGAGATAACATATTTGTGTATGTAGAAAATCCTAAGTAAGCTACAAAAACATAATCACTATCATTTATAATAGTATCCCAAACGTGAAACACTTAGTGACACATTTAATAACGTATGTGCAAAACCTTTACAGTGAAAACTAAAAGCTATTGGTAAGAGAAATTAAAGAAAACCTACATAAATGGAGAAATAGATCATGTGCATGGATCGGAAGACCACGTATTCTTTTTTTTCTTAAAGATTTTATTTATTTATTTGATGGAAAGAGAGAGCGCACGCACACAAGTAGGCAGAGCAGCAGACAGAGGGAGAGGAGAAGCAGGCTTCCAGCTGAGCAGAGAGCCTGACCTGGGGCTTGATCCTAGGACTCTGAGATCATGACCTGAGCCAAAGGCAGAGGCTTAACCAACCACCCGGGTGCCCCAAGACCCAGTATTCTTAAGAAGTACATTCTGACCACACCAATCTATAAATTCAATGCAAACCCAATGAAAGTCCTGACTTTGCAGAAATTGACAAGCTGACTTCAAAGTGTGTATGGAAGTGCAAAGAACCTAGAATAGGCAAATCAGATTTTGAAAAAGAGGAATAAAGTTGAAAGACATAAGGATGACTAAAAGAGGATATAGATGGAATGGAAATCTCATACGTCACTGGTGGGAGTGTAAATTGGTAGAATCATACTGGAAAACAGTTCTTCAGTTTCTTGTAAAGGTAAACTTAAACTAGCCACAGGAAAGAATATCCAATGGGGGGATA